TATTTTATTTATATATCAAAATATTTGTCTATTTCTATTCAAATCACATTTTTTTGCAATTCATAATCTTATCATTATTTTCTTATTTATTATAAATATTTTTATCATCAATGCTAACATGACTTCATTTTTTTAGTTTTTGTAATGTTTTGTTTTTTCCTAATTTCACTATTAACTTAGTATGAGAAAAATAAATTTAATTATTAAATATATAAAACAATTTACTAGTTGTTGATGTTTATGATTCACTTTTTTATTTGAATTAATAATTATTAGTTTTCAAACGAAAGTCAATTTAGTTTAAAGAATTCCAGTGACAGTGTTTGCAACGTCTAAATTGTCTCAATGTATGTCAAAAACATATTTCAAATGTTGACAAACTTTTTTTGCCAACAAATATATATAATTTTATGTTTTTGAGAGCAACACATATAATAATTACACGACATTATGATATATAGTGACCGGAAAATTAAACAAATTGTAAAAATGTTTTATATAAAAAAAACTATTGAATCGTTCAGTGATCTTATTGTTAGAGATTTTTTGTCTACAAATGAATGGTTAGAGCGGTGTCCGTGCGATGAGATCAGTGACCCATTAATGTATTGAGTGGTTATTTGCAATTTATTACAACTAAATAATAGTTAACATCGATTGGCCACAAGATGTGCTAAAAGTTGTTTCGATGTGTAACCAGTTGTTGGCCTCTTTGCGACCACTTTGAGACTCACTGTAAGACTATAAGTGATTGCAGGCATAGGAGGTATGAGGCATAGGAGGCATAGAGGCATGTGATGGACGGTCAAGCACCTGCCTGTGGGCACATGCGATGCATTCTGGAGCCAAAACTGGTCTGATTTGTTGCTCCGGGTGGACATTCCTGCACTTGCATAACTTGATGACCTTTCATATTCCCAAACGTCTTATAAGTCCTGTCCGACCACTCGTGCGAAGCCCACAACAAGACTTGAAGACTTGAAAAATCTTTTAGACAGATATCGCATATTTATACCGTATTTACAGATTTGCACAAATGCTAGCGAAACGCACGCAGAGGTCATTGCAATCGGTCTTTGTTTTTCTTCACAAATAGCTTTCTTTTGCAAACATTCAGAATATAATCAAATTATTTAATCATAACTTTGAGCCATAATAACAGTCAGTGAGTGACCGCCACATGGATTAGACATACAGTCAGTCAGAGAGTGTTTTGGTCTGAGATATACAGTCATTAACTGTAAGTCATATCACATGATAGCTATGTTATGCTATAACGGAATCCCGACTCAATGGTCTGCCGGTCGACGACCTTCACTTCGACCCTCTTGGGCTCAAACCATTTCTACCCCTCATCACTGGCTTTCCTAACACTCCATTCCCCTCCTCAATACACTTCCCCTAAAGCACAGTTCGGACCAAAATGTTAGGTTTAGGTCATCAGACAGTTATTCGTCTATTTGTATGCGTTATATAAGTTATAATATAATACATAACATATACATAACGTTTAGGAAATAGAAAAGGAGGCAAAAGAGGCCCGAAATGCACTCAATGCCACTCTATTGCCGGTCATTCGCCTCAACACTCACTTCACTCGCCTCTGCTCTCTGCTGTCCGCCTGTTGTCCTCTCTCTCTCTCTCTCTCTCTCTCTCGCTCTCTAAGGGAGCCAAAGATCCTCTCATGGGAGCGACACATCTAAAAGAAATGGATGGAAAGTCCTATCAATGCCTTAACAGGGGATTCAGAGGGAGATGAGAGTTGTGCTCAAACTTGAAGGGAGAGAGAGATTGAGTGAAAGGGAAATATTGTATTGCATTTGTATTACGTCTTCTGGTGTGCGATTAGCAGCACTGGTAGTCCTAATAGTGTACCCATTAAGGCATTGCATACTTGGCTGGAGTGCAGTACATAAGTATAAGTACGGCTAATAGTATGGAATGGTGTGGTCTGGTGGGGCCGACTGGTCTGCCAGTGCTCTGAACTGACTGCACTGTCTGTGTGTCTCATATCTCAGGTAATGATTGACCACAAAAGAGCTAACATGAGGCGAATCGTGTGAATCACTTATTCATAACAAATTGAGTCCCGAAATGATGCTCAACTCAACGACCATAAAGTGAACTCAAAATATGTTATTCTATTGACTACTGACTTATTTGAGACCTTAATGTGTGTTCACTAGCCTTACAACACATGCAATGCTTATATAAAGCGATATAAATATAACAGAAAGTGGAACAACGAATGGCTATATTATCTGACAAAACGTCAAAACGGCAACAAAAGCCAACAAATGTTATCACAGCTACACAACTATGAGGGCACAGATAGCACAGCCATCACACCATAAGCATATATACACCATAAGCCCTGTAAGCACCGGCAGACCATATGAGGCAAAGAAAGTGGAGGAAAACGAACTTATTTTCTAAATCATTATACTTATGACCATTTCATTTGCATGAGTGCTATGAATATCGCTCTCTATGGCAACAAACCATACACTCTATGCATCTCATAATATACACCGTTATTATACAGTGTATGAGCTAAGAGCTGCTGGCTCTCACTCTGGTGTCGACCCCTTTCGTACCCCCATTTGCTTCTTGTCTTATTAGAAAGTCACGAATTTATCCCAAGGGAATGAAATTTGCTTTTATTTTATAAAATACTGTACATAACGTTACCATTCATTTGATACATAACATCAATGCTATGCAATGCAATGCCATTCACTGGTATTGTATGCAAAATATTTGGCTATAAGTCTTGAGAGCAAAGCCTACCGCAGCTCAAGAATATTCAACTCAAATGAGAAACGACTGAATCTCTCCGACAGTCGGAATATTTTTCCTCTTATTTCTCTAAATATTCATTTTGTTTGCAAATGTCAGTCATTCGACAGACGAGACGTTTATTTTGTTTTTAATTATTTTTCGTAATAATTATTAATATAATTATTATTATTTAACACATCATTAAATAGGGGTTACATTTGATAGACAGAGGAAATGGATTGTTCGGGTGTTTCATATGATAGATGAATGAAAAGTGAATAATAAAATGGTTTTGTGTCCTAATCTTCACCCGATAACCCGCCCAATGAAACAATAGCCTTAATAGCCATATATGTTATATAATACCCAACGAGTAGGTGAACACAGAGTCAGTATTGTATGACTGTATGAGTGGTATTGAGCGCCAATTTTGGGCATTTTTCAGACGTAATACAAGTATTGCTGGTATTGGAGGCAATGTATGCGATGTTTATATATACGGCACTCTTATCATGAGTTATGTTATCTCATCTTAAGGTACCTAAAAGTAAAGAGAAGTCGAGTTAAGCCAAAGTTGTGCCAAAAGTGCATTCATTCTGTTGGCGGATGCCATCCACTGCACTGTTAGCTAACATTTAGCGCATATAGCAATCTGACTGCCAGTGCTTTGAAGTTGTGCTAAAAATAAGTTTTAGGCTACTCTTCGCCAGTTAAGGTCAGGTCCGCTGCAGACCAGCTAATTATAGACGACGTGAATGCCTGTGCACTCCAGCACTGGCAGTGCACTACTGGTTGGTTTGGTTGGGCGCTGTTTTGTGCTCTTCATTATATACATCTCTCTCTCTCTCTCTCTCTCTCTCTCTCTCTCTATTTGCTTATGTAATGCTTTTGAGAGTTAGAGTCATTTCTGACAAAACACACGTGTATTACAGTATTGCCACAGAGAGTAGAGTTGAGATGAAATGAGATGAAAAGTTGGACCCAACACCACACCCACACCCAAACCCAATTCCATCTCAATAAGAGCAGTACAGCTAACTTTAGCTGAGGCTACAATGCCAGCTCAGGATACCATAGCATAACATACCAGTCCATAGTTCATACCGAACAGCGAACAGACAGAGACCTACACTACAGTTGATGAGCAATAATAAGCCATAAGTGAACGCTAATGCCTTAATACCAGTGCTTTTGCAATCACTATCACTGCCTTCAATGAGAAGTATATTCTTGTCTCCCTTTTGGCCTTCTTTTCATCTTTTGTCAAATGAAAGCACAGTCTCTATAGTCAGTCCCCTGTATTGACATTGCATTACATTATATGGCATTAGGGAATTGATTGCACCCAACCATCAATACAATGAGATACTACTTTCCACTACCAGTGCTACTAATGTTTGACCAAAAAACAATTCACACTATCGGCCAATCCATTCAATCCATTACCGATTTTTGTTTTTTGTTCAGCACATGTTTAGTCCATTTGTGATGTCATCTGGATATCAATTGCCAGTAAATGCATTCATCACTCATTGCATACATCTATATAAACAAATTCTCTATTCGTTCACTCAATTCAATTCAATTCTCACGATTTGCATGATTTTTATCAAACGTCCAGAATTTAGGTTTCTATTAGCGATTGTGTAACGAATGTCCAGAATATGGGCTACAAATGTGTTGTTTGGTTTGATTCACAGCTGCAATCACTGTAATTGTTGTTTATGTTATTATTTGGGATCAAAATGCGACTCTAGTGATGGTCACAAATATTGTAGAAATGCTTTTTGATTATCAATGAATTGACACCAATTGATATGAATGAGTGATTATGAGTAGTGGAGTATTGTTAGGTTAGGTATCATAACAGAAATGACTGCTTGTTATGGCTGTGCTCTTGACTGCAATGACTTGACGGCTTCACTGGTCATCCGGTTGACCCACATTTTCACTGCAACTACCAGTCCTTCACTCATTCAGTATCAATAACTTTGTAAACAACTTATGGTCAGTTGGAAGGACTTTACGTTTAACTTTTAGACCGCCTGTCCGTTCGACTGGCAATTGAACAGTCAGTCCTTTAACTGTTAACTCAGTGCCCAATGTTTGTGAACCCAGTATTGGACTGTTTGTTAATATTTATACATAACTAGAGTTTTGCTTTGCGTTATACATGTGCTGGCGCTCAAGGTCTGGTCCGGTCCACTAACTTCTGAATAATGACCTATAAATGTCTAGACCAGACCAACCAGGGGCTCAAATATGCCTCAGAGAGAGTTGTATGTGTGTATCACTTGGTTTATGTATCACTTGTGGGACAGTTGTCCACTTTATATCATACTTTCCTTTCGAGTGCTGTCATGAGAATTGAGTGGAAAATGAAATAAACGCTAAATTATAGTGACTTTGACTTCAATAAAAAGCTAATTTCGTGTGTCGTTTATCTGTGAAGTAATGTTTTCTTTGGCTTCTGTTACAGCACTGGACGAGACATCACTTTCGACGACGACGACTATCGCAGCCCCCGTCGGAGGGACTCAATCAGACTGTTCTCCACGTGAACCCCAGCATCAGTTATGTCAGGATATACTTGTTTGTGGTGTTTGTCAGCGAGAGTTCGCATTACAAGATATCCTCAAATTTATATCACATAAAGTGAACTCTTGTAGTAATAAAGAGAACTGTCGTATAAATGCATTCAATCCCAGTGATGATGACTTGGATGATATGGACAATGAACTGTCCATTAGTGAAGACAATCCGTCGGAAACCAATGATAACAATACCAACGACACGAATGTGAGTCCAATAAATGTGAGAAAACAGACGCCAAGTATTATAAACAACACTCAACGCCATAAGTTAATTAAGTTGAGACACAATCGACTCCATAACCATCGAAGTCAACCAAATCTGTTCAATAGTTCTTCACGTCAGACCAATTCAAGTCCTCCTCAAAGTGCAAATACCGGTGAAAAGCCAACTGTTGCTGACGCGCAAACATATACTATTAATTCAGGTACCGGTAATTAATCCATATTAACACACATACGTGACTCACATCTCATTACATGCCATCCCATCCCTCATTCACTCTTGCGTTCAATACAAGCGCTCTTTCTTTCATTTATGCCATAAATGTATAAAATATATAATATTTAACTGTAATGTACTCTCATTGTAGTCTCACTACTAGTCCATTGCCTCACTATTACCTCAAATGCAAATCAATATTCTTTTCAAACAAATTCAAGAATAATATTCAAAATTCTCATATTTTCTTCAATAACTAATATTCAATACAATTCTTATTGAAAATTCTTATTGATATTCAATTTTTATTCACAATTTTTTATAATTTAAATGCATTTATTTGAGGCCAACGAATGCATTGACGTAAACCTTAAATCAGACCGTTATAGCGATCGCCCCCATATGTGCCACAAATATATGACATATAACATACAGTACTGCACTTTATTTGACTGTTATTATAGCTCAGCAAACATTGTCCCCACAGTATGACTGCACCTCTTATGCTGACCGGCCCAGGAAGTGGAGGAATTGGGCTTAAAATGTTACCAAAACTTTTTTAGCGATTGTCTGTCTCTCAGGAGTTTTCATGTGTAGAGAAAATGTTAAGAAAAGTCCAAATTGAATGTTGCGATGAGACAGAGCCCAGTGGAGTGAGGAGTATAAGGGCCGTCACCCTCGACTCGCCCATCCATTGTGAGGCACCTAAGAATGCGGTGTCAAACATGTCGAGTGCAATGCAATGCAATACCAATTTATACCAATTTTTTAAGCCTATGCCAAACCATTTCTGACAGCAAGTAGTGCGGCGTCCGGTCGAGCCTCAACTCACTGCCCGGCCATCTGCCACACTATCCAACCAAATATTATATTATATAATATCTGATCTAAATATATATACAGTTTATACGGAGTCCCAACTATTAGTGCCCATCAAATGAGTAAAAAATGATTTTCCAGTTAAATATAAAATAAGATATGTTGAGTGCGTTTATAAACAAATACAGCTTTTTCTATGAGTTATTGCAGAGAATTATTTTGAATGACTTGTAAATAGAGTATTGAATAGAAGTCCAATACATAAGAGTTGAATGGAAGCGAAGATTTATTGGGTGTTAAATGTGTGCTAACACTGTAACACTTTATGGTAGGGCTAACTCCTCACACTCGACCTCCTCATCCCTCTCCCCCTCTTCACCCACACAATGGGCACCGAAACAACCTTTCGATTCGGACCACAGGTCCATAAAAGTCAATACAAGTGACACCACTTGTGCTGTAAGGCCAGTGGAGAGCACTGCCACCCACTACTACACCACTACTACTCCAGTCCTACTTCACTACCACTTTGTATTCTTCTGTAATATTATTGTATTCTTAACTCAAATACAAAACAACATTATTTGATACAATGAGTGCACTATTTGTAGGCCAGGATTTATAGCCCCAACAAGCGATTGAACGCTACCTAAACAGATATGTACTAAAGTGACCGTATTATCAGTTTATAGACTTGTAAATGGAATGGTAGTGTCGATCCCTATCCCTAAATGCCTTGTTATAGCCAAATATAATAATATTATACACAACATATTCAATGCATACATAAGTTTATATATATTTTATGTGACACAATGTGTTTGGCGATCGCTTCGCATGAATTGCACACCATTTGAATTGTTTGTCATTTTCTCATATCTACAAAAAGATGCAGAAAAGAGCCATCGTTTGCATGGCTTGGGATCCACTCCCAGGTTTTCATTGTCGCTCGCGTGACGAGATGTCATTTCCGATTAAAACCATATCCAACAACACGCGCCTAAAACCTCTATCTTCTCTCCCCTTCCCTTTACTCCTCTCAGTCTCTCTCACTCTTCAGTATAAAACTCAGGCCTTCAGGGGTTTTAAAATGTGCTAAAAAACCATTTATTGATTTTATGTGAAATAATGTTCACAAATGTTCACAAAAGTTATAGTGAATAAGAAATGGACACACATTTGTAGTGAATATATTCCAGTCTATGTATAGTACAGAACATACTTTTATTTATGCAAATGATTGATCAGATATACCAATACTGCCTGTACTCTAGTTTTTACTGTCTGTCTGTCCATTATATAGCTTTTTATTTGTAAAAATTTTCTTCAACTGCTCTACTATTTCACCGCAATTGAAATGAATGGTTGAAAAGTTTGCTTTTTTGTGTTGGGCTTTGAGTTTAGGTTTTGATTAAGTTTTTCTCTGGATTTAGATTTTTCAATGTTGTGTTGTTTTAGATTTATATTGAATTTGTCGGGGAATAAAAAATTTACAAAAAAAATCAAACCGGGAGATAGACATAGAGTAGTGGTGTATTGGTTGGGAAGGCGAGTGCCAGTTCTCTGGCAATGATTGTGGATTGCAGTGCAGGAGGTCCTGACAAAGATGGATGATTACCAATGATGACCGCTCGCTCACTGCCAGCGCTTTAATTTCCTCTTAGACTCTCTCTCTCTCTCTCCCTCCCTCTCTCTCTCTCTCTCTCTCTCCTGATTTGCATAAATTGAACAAAAAGAGTCCGTCTCTGCCGGTTCTCTCCTGACTCAGACAACAGCCTCAGCTCAGCTGCTATTTTGTCACACAATTACTATTAAAAAGTATTATTTTTACTCTAAATAATTCACTCGATTTCCGAAATTATTTGTTCAAAATATAATTATTTAATTGAATTTGAATTTTATTTCATTACTTCTTGATCCTAATGGCATAATATTTCCTTGAATAGCATTAAGACTTGACTTTGCATTTGATTAGTTTGATAAGAATTGATAGATATTTAACATAATTTTAATTGTGATTCACTTTAGAGCCCATAAGTCAGATGTGTAGCACATGTAAGCAAGTATTCGGCTCGTCATGGCTTCTCATACAACACGTACAGAACCTGCACGGCCTCAAGATATACGTGGATATCTTCAATAGTGAGCCATCGATATTGCCTCCCATTGACGGCCATCACTCGCACCATCACTCCCAGAGCCACAACCAGTCTCGCAGTGGATCGAGTGGTGGCCACACATCGAGTCAATCGCTGGGAAGCAATAACATGAGTGCTTCGCATCACTCGGCGCTACAACTCTTGCGAATGCCGTTAAGTGAGCGCCAATTCCCGGTCCAATCGTTCATCGCCGCCGCCGCCGCTGCAGCCGCCGGACGAGCCAGTGGTGGCACCGGTGGTCACGGCACTAGTCATTCAGAGATGTTCACCGGTTCTAATGTCTCGTCAACTCTGAACCATTCGGTGTCCGGAATGTTCTCCGACGCCCACAACCTCTTCGGAACCAGTGCTCCGCCGGACTCGACCTCAACAGTCAAGAACTCTCCCGGAAGTTCGGCGAGGCATCAGAGCAATACATGTCTGGCATTACCGCCGCCGCCCTCTCTCTCATTTGACACTCACCTCGACTTCTATTCGCAACGATTGCGTCAATTAGCCGGAGCCACGAGTCCGGCCGCCGGCACCACCTCTACATCGCCCGGCAGAAAGTTAACGCCCCCTTCGTATCTACAAATGTCTTCCTCTAACACAAGAACTTCGCCCACAATATCAATGACAACGTCGACAATCGCATTGTCCGATCGGTCGGCCACACCGACAGCATTACTGAATCCCTCGAGTCCTAAATCAAAGTCATGTGAATTCTGTGGCAAATCATTCAGATTTATGAGTAATCTTATAGTTCACAGACGTTCTCATACGGGAGAAAAGCCCTTCAAATGCCATATCTGTAACCACGCGTGCACTCAGGCCTCCAAACTCAAGAGACATATGAAGACACATCTCAGAGAACGCAATAATATCTCCAACTCTGCGCTCAATCTAAACAACTCTCACATGAATTGCTCGGAAAACACCACAGATTCGGGCAATTCTGCGCCCGACTCGTCCACCCCTTCCTCTAAAAACCACTTAAGTCTTCCGACCACTACCACAACCAACGGCGGAGATATTGATCTCTTGGATGACGACGAAGATATCGATGACGACGAAGACATTGAGGACGAGGACGAAGAGATCGATGAAGAAGGCAATGAAGGAGAAGACGGTGACAATGGAGACAACTCTCGGACGTCTAGTGTTGAGATGGTAGCCGAAGACTTGTCGCGCACAACAGGAAACACGAATGGAAAGGTGGGCACTGATAGCAATAGTCCCTCCACTGTGTCGACTGTGGCCACCCGTACCTCAAGTGCAATGCAATCACTTTTGGGTGAAGTGATGGAAAAGATAGGCTTAACAGACATTCAGCAGTACAACGAAGCTTACAAACAGGCCCTCGAAGAGAGTGTCAAGACAGTGGTGGGGTCTGTAGGGTCTGTAAGCACCGGTGGTTCTGTGAAACTGGAACGACCCTCTTCTTCATCGAGTCATTTGTCTTCATCAGAACATCATAACCACAACACCAGTGGTTTGCATATAAATAATATCCTAAAGCACTCGAAGTCCCATTCGTCACACCATTCGCATCATTCACACCATTCATCCCATTCGGCTGCCAGTCCTCATCGCCAGAGTTTTAACGAATTGGTGGCCGGAATCGGGAATTCAGTCATGACTTCTGGAGGGAATGCAGGGATCAGTCCTGCCAGCAGTCTATTGAGCAGTGCCTTCGATCATCACAACCCTTTCGATCCGAAACGTCTGAAACTAGACTTCAATGCGGCGTCCGATCAAAGAGACCCACTCTATGCCGGTCTATGGCTGCCATCAGTGGCCGCCAATCCTTTTACCGCCTCTTTTGCTCATCACTTATCGGCCGCGTCTGACTCAGTGGCGGCCGAATTGGTCCGAAACAAAGTAGTGGACAGCAGTGCCTTCTGTAAGAACTCATCGTCGATGTCGACGTCGAGCAGTAGTCCCCGTCCCGGGCCTTCTTGTCGTAGTCTCCATACGCCTCCATCGCAACACCACATCCATAGCAATAGCAATAACACTTCCCCGACAGGCAGTAGTGGACGGGCAGCGAACACACCACCGGTTAATGAGCGCCGCAAAGAGCATCACACCCGGAGCCGAAACGACACGTGTGAGTATTGCGGCAAAGTCTTCAAGAATTGCTCCAACCTTACGGTCCACAGGCGCTCACATACGGGCGAAAAGCCCTATAAGTGTGAATTGTGTTCATACGCCTGCGCCCAGAGCTCCAAACTGACCCGACATATGAAAACTCACGGCCGACTCGGCAAAGACGTCTACAAATGCCGGTTCTGTGAAATGCCTTTCTCTGTGCCGAGTACTCTGGAAAAGCATATGAGAAAGTGTGTCGTCAACCAGAATAGCTCCGGACTCCCCGTCGGCGTCAACAGCGAGCTCGCACTCATGGCTCTACACCACACACTATCCAACACCAGCACCGGTAGTAACGACAAAGACTCGGACTCCAATCCGATGATATCGTAATGACTCCTATATATATATATAAACCTATCGATTAATAAATTAATTGATAAATAATTATATTCTTAAAAAGGTTTGCTAAAACAAAAAACTAAATTAATTAATAGTTTTGTTTTGTTAGTGAGTTTCATGTCAATTGTTATTACATTTAGACATTATATTCAAAACTAATCATAAATATATTCTCTTAACCACTAATATAAACGCCAATTACTGTTCATACTATTCCTCTAATCTATCGAAAGCTCCTAAATTTCGCGAGAAAATGTGGTTAAAAGAGAGTATATTTTGTTCTTTTAATTAATATTAATATAAAAACTATTTATTTAAGAGCAGAGACAAAGAATTTCAGATTTACGTACAAAACACATAATAATAATATGAATAATGCGAAGCCATTATAATCTGGTCGATAATAGTTGAGATAAATTTTCAGATAAACACTCCTATTGAACACAAAATCATGGCTCAAATAAGAAATGATTAGTTAAACTGTAATATTATGAAATTAATTGATAGACAAAGTTTTGTGAAACACATTTGAACACTAAATGCCAAAGAGATATCATATAAATAATATGCAAATTTGAAACAATAGTTTAACAAATGATGATATTTAACAGATTATTATCTATATATCGGTTACATCATAGGGACAAACAAGGAGTAGTTTGATCCCGCATACCATACCGCGGCCTTTCATTCACTTTTATTTATTGTGAGGGAATTATACCAGACTTTAAGGAGAACCAGGAGGCACTACACCTGAATTATACCAATTGAACCATTTTGTGATCAATAATTATGATTAATAATTGCAATAAAGTGCCTAAACTTATAAAACAATTTTTAAACAATAAGTTAGTATTTATTACAATAAATACAACAATATGTCCCAAAATATTAACAAATAACTGGTACTAAAAGTATCACTCGATTTATCGAAAACCGATACAAATAATAATTAAACACAAAAACAAACCGAAACTTTTGTCTCTGCTTTTTTGTCTTAACACAAATGAAAACTAATTTTTTTTATAATTTAAAATTTTGTCTAAAAACCTTTTTTGTGCACTTTGTTTAATATATTGTAGAGCTATTGTAATGTAAATGTATGAAACAAATTATTATTATTATTATTACTATTATTATTATTATTAGTTGTTTTATATTATTATTATTAATATTATTAATTAATGAATAATTAGGTCTAAATTAAATGTAAAAGAAATGATTGGTTGCCTTATATATTATATGACAACATATTTGAGTGTAAAGGAGACACTTATTTACTCGATTAGTACAAAACTAAAACAACAAAACATTTTGAAAATATATTAATATAAATACGAGAGCAGAGAAAGTGAGTGCCGACCGAAACCCAGTGGTATTTTGCGCTGTTATGTAAAATTTAACAATTAGTTGCATCACTTCATCCTTTATTATATAATAATACGTTAAACGGTTTTAATTGATGAGTCGACTCATTGTGTTTTAACTGTATTTTTGATTATTTAATATACATATTATTGTATGTTTTAATCGCTTTTCTCTATTCTCTCTTTGCTTATGGTTTACCAGATTTTATCACAGAAATTCATATTTCGTTTAATTTGATGAGAAATTAGTAGAAAACATGAGTTGATATGAAATGTAAAACAAAAGACTTACACTAAAAAGTGACCGAAAACAGGGTTTTCATTCATATTTCTGAGCCACAGATTTCCATTCATAATAACTTATAGTCTAAAGAGGTTTGAAATTATTTCTAAATTGATAGCGAATTTAAAATTTATTACTTTTTTAAAACTTAAAAACAGTACAGAAAGAAAACTTTTTAAGAGATATTTTAAAGACTTTAATCTCTCTTTTTGAGACAATAAGTGACACAAAAAAAACTATAATAAAAATGTAATAATAATAATCACTGAAAACAGTAAACTTTTGCATGATTTTTAAAAAATAGGCGAAAGTTTACTCTTTTATTGCTTTATTTGATTTGATATTTATTTGATTTTTTTTGAACAAATAATTTATAATACAGTGTTCGACGTGTTATATAAGGATAGATATTATGTTTAGTTTTTTGTTTTATTTTGTTTTTATTTAGAGTGTGATTACATTAAGTAAACTGAACATCAATTTACATAAATATTTGTTAAATTATGAAAAAATAATTATTATTATTAAGAAATTCTGCGAAAAGATGAACTGAATTCTCGGCTCTTACGCTAAGAATACAATAAAACATTTGTAAACAGAGTATTAAAATAATTAAATTATGATTAATAAGCAAAAACTGTGAATTCCAGTGGAAATTTACATAAAAGATAATAAGTTTATAATTATATAAAAGAAAATTTGTGTCCCCTTTAAAAGTAAATATTAATTATAAATATCATTCACCGGTGACTATATATATAAATAATTTTAATTATATATATATTTATAAAACGCTTTCATTTCTTCTGTATTTGTCTTTTTTTGCACCGAAGAGTAAAAGAGTAAATAATATTTCAATATTAGATCCAAATATTTGTATTGTTTTTATCATTGATTCTCTAATTTTCTCTCTTTAGTTGGTTTTAATAATATTTTAAAATTTTATAAATAAAGAAAAATTTATTATTACACTAAATTGTGCTGTTTTATTATTTATTATTATTATTATTATTAAATTTATTGATAAACACTTTATATAAATGATGAGATTTGGTCAATACTTTGGGACGACATATAAATGGATAAATCAATGTTTTAGACATCAAATACAGACAAATATCGGTTATAGAATTTGTCACAATATTTATTGCATTCAATTCACACAAAATTCTATCAAAAATATGAATCCACTCTCATATCGGGGATAATATTTCGATACAAATATAGAAAATAAATGCGATATAAATAGTAAAATATTATCACAAAAATTGAAAATTGACAGTTTTGTAGAGTTTACCAATAAATGATATATTCTTTTCAGGAATTCATAAGTATATTTTGAATTGAATTTGAATATATATATACACAAAAGTATAGGCTAAATGGTCAGTATTAATACCGTAGTGTAAGAATATAGTAAATGGACTTTTATAGTATGTATTAGTATTATTATTTTGTGAACCTTTTAAATGAAAACATTAATGATTAGATTAAGAGTCGACAGAATTGAAGGCAAATATGAAACTTATAAACGAGTGAATGATGTTTTAAATTGAAAATTAGATAATTTGTACGAAAATAATCGATATTTTATTTGCAGAGAGAAGAGCAGACTTATGATAGACTGAGTGTCTGTTAAGTGAGAGTTCATTGTGTTATAGAAATGATGTCATAAATAATCTGATTTCCATTCATATTATACATAATTATTTTGCTTTAATTTTTTAAACATCACTCTTGTGTTTATAATTATTTGCAAACACAGTATTAAAGACTGATTTTTCATATTTCACTCGTTATTTAATGTGAGACAAGTTCTGCAAACAAACACTCAATGAAATCATTTCTCAATTTATTAGTCTTTATGGCATTTGAAGTAAAATTTTCAAATATAACAGAATATGAAATATATAATAATTTCATTGCATTTTGATATGAGAAGCACTCCATTAGATGACCTTTTGTTATAAAATATCATGTCATAGTATGCCATAATATGCCATACCCTTTGTAGCGAAATGCTTTTGTAAAACATAAGGTTTAACTCATTGGCACTAGTAGTGAGTATATCACTGTTAGAGCACTGGTAGTCTGTATTCTGTTTTCTTTAAAGTTAGAGATAAGAGACTATCGACTCATGATTTTTATGACTCGTAACTCATTTTATTGCAGATTCAGCTCATATTTATTTATTTATTATTTGATATTCTCTTTGCATTTAATAACACATCGAGAATTAAATCTGGAATTATGTGAAAGGAATTCAATTTTGAAAAAAAGTCTCATTTGTATCGATATATAAGGAAACGAATGGTTTTTGAGTGCATTTCACTCATTTATGAATCGGTTATCGAAAGAGAGGAATATTTTGGAAATAAGAGTTGAGAGTTGAGAGGATTTGTAGTGTTTGTACGATATATTGACATCGAGTATAATATTTAATTGGATTTGAATCAGTGAACCGTCAGTTCATGTGAATCATGTGAATGTGAAATATTTGGCTCCGATTCGCGTGTGAGTCCAACTCAGTCTCAATCTATTGAATACCAAACAAGAAATACTATTTCTTATGGATTTTTATATGTTATGTGTGTGTGATGTATGTGCCGTGCAATCCATTGTGCGCACCCATACAGCCCCACACACTGTAAGGCACTGGTAGTATAGTATCACTAACAGCGCATATATTTGCCTTTTTTCTCTTTGCATTACTAACTAATTGCATGAATACTACTATTCTATGAGTTTCTCTCATATATTCTGCCTTCACATCCATTCTCTATCTCTTGTGTGTCTCTCCCTCTCACTCACACATGGAATGCCTGTGCGTTACCCCACCAACCCATCCAATACTCCAACCCTACAACCCATACAACCCATGCAAGCCTTCGTGTATTTTTGTGTTCAGCGCTCGACTGCAAGCTTTTGATAAGAAGACTTTAGGCTTCCCTCGAGGATTGCCTTAACTTAAAACAAACACACTTTTTGCATACAAAACATACAAAAAAAACTTTTCTTTACTCTAAAACCTGAAGAACTTTTTTTTCCATATTATAAGGACTTATATGATTGTATGGAGAGATGCGTTCACATCGACCTAACATTACGTTTCTTTTGCATCTCTTTGACAAACCCTATAATATCACAGAAAAAGCGCTGAGAATTGAGTCCAAAGTGAATATTATTTGGCGAACGCTCTTCGCGTTTGTGTTGGCTTTTGGATTAAAAACAGTTGTGTTTTTGTTTCTGCAGTCAATTCATTCATTTATGGGATGTCTGTCTATAAATAGACCAAAAGAGCGAAAAGCAAATGATTTTTCGCGAACGCATTGAACGGAAATGAAATGCAAGCGGTTTATGAAATGTAGGGAAAAATGGGAGAAAAGGCTCGCGTGAAGCGACTCTCTCTCTCTCTCTCTCTCTCTCTCTCTCTCTCAGTCATACCTTTCGTTTATTACTTGTCGGAGGGTTTTAGTACTGTATATACATTTCGTTCCACTTTTTCATTCATTTTTTAAACATTGATTTTCATTTTTGAGTCACACTTTTAATAAAGAGGTGTAACGCAAAAGACCTCAAAAAGCTTTTGAATGATTAAGTGATTGTCTCGATGTATTCAACGCATGTTTTTTGATTAACTCTTAGCAGTCTATCAGAGAATTAACTGAATTTAAATGATTTTTTGCACCAAAATTAGTTTAGTAGTTAATACAATAGATCAGAATATTGATCGCTATCTCAATCAAAAAATATAATTTAATACTAAATTTAATAATAAAATAATATATTTGATGCTAAATACTGTAGCAATGGAATTGCATAGTGGAATTGGAAATGCATGTATGGATTGAATTTAGTATTAAAATAGATTGAAATCTTATTTCAAACAAAAATGTTTTGATTGAAATGATTGCAAAACGCGAGTGATTCAGGAAATTGAAGAACCGTTTGGTTCACCTCTAATATGAGACCAAAGCAACCAATGTTTGAGTTTTTATATTTTGCTTTAACCGGATAAGAGTTTTTTGTAGAAAAAAGTGTATTAGGATTACGGAGTCTCTCTCTGTTTGCATAATTTCTTGTCGGACGGGTAAAAGTGAGCCCAAAGGCGATTCAATACATAATATTATTACTGATAGTCAGTCTTTGGTATACTTATGCAAAGCGTATGTATTTTAAAGCTACAAATTTGGCAAATGTTTGAAATGTCCGAATGTTTAGATTAAGGGGTTTTGGGACGACATGAATGAAATGAAGCACAAGTAGTGCTGAACAGTACTGAACACTACAGCACTGCTACTCAACTCAAAGGGGAGACGGGGGGACGGGGAACGGGGTCTGCGTTTTTGTTTTGAGCGACAGGGGATCCGCAGGGAAATTAGAGTTAAAGGGAGGGTGGGATGCGAGTCAATATGGCTGTGAGAAAAATGATAGATACCGGAAAGGGGTAGTCATAGTCATCATTATAAAAAAAAGTAGTGCACATAAAGTGAATTAATATTAGAGTTTGTGATAAGAGTTGGCTTCCCTCCAGTCAGTCCCCCATAGACTGTGTGTGTGAGGGCTGGAGTGCATCAGTCAGTGATGCGCGTCATTATGTAAATGTTAGTGTCTTAAGGAATCGGTGCTAAGAGTGCAGTTGGAGCACAGGGAGGGCCGGGAGAAAACACAAAACATGTGCGTATTATGTGTTGTGTTATGGTTTGGGTCTGAAGACGGGCTCACATCAATGCAATGCTGTTGTAGTCAACCTTTTTTGGCAAACTCTTGCAATAAACCATTAGTCCGTATGCAGAGTAGGCATTGTATGCAAGGGCTGGTATGCCTCACATGCAACTCGCAACTCATGTAAATTTAATTCACTTCCCCTTTAATTTATTTTCCCTTTTTTATATCAAAGTGTTTTTGTGGTCCAACACCATTGCATTGCAGTGAAGTATGGAGTAGTAGTCGACTAGTAATGCAATGAAAGGCTGAATCCCTTCCCACTCTTGCGCTCATTTTTAATCGCTATAAACCATCAGTCATTTGCCGGGCGGACACGTTATCCTATTCTCCCGTCTATTCATACAATCGCTGGACTAGAGCTGAACAGAAGAAAGAAATCGTTTGTGAGTCAAGTTTTTTACAATTTTACATCTCTTTCCATCTCTCTCTCTCTCTCTCTCTCTCTCTCTCTCTCTCTGCGATATTCACTCAATTCTTCCCCTTTTTCCTGATTTTCAACTCTAAAAAATCATTTTTGTATCTTTGCTTTCAATTTAGTTCAGTTCCCTTCGTATTGTGCTTTTGATCCCCTTTTGGTCCAATGAATCCCTATTGGTATACATGAATGAACACTCAGAAGCACTGCAAGTGAACTACAGTTTCAGATTCATCTGAAAAAAATTGGAAAAAGAAAAGTCGATTCTTATATTTTTTTTGTGCGTTTTGTGTCCTTTTCCTCTTTCGATAGGCTACTGGGGCCGCACATGCGTTTGCTTGTGAACCAATGACATTCCCAACTGACCAGTGCACAGCGCATGGATGGGCTGTATTGATGCCATATATCTATTCACTGACACTTACCATTGAATTGAGGCAAATCTCGAGTTGTGTTTCAAGTATTCCTGAAATATATTATATGTCTTGCAATTCATATATAAATAGAAAAGAAAAGCAAATGAAATAAAAACTAAACGTAAGATAGTATTGAAGTGTTGGAGAGGAGAGGAGTAGAGCTTAAGACAGTCTAATGGAAATCGAGAGACGAGTTAACTCTATTGGAAGGCTTTTTTACATCAAACACATCAACTTTTTTAATGAAAAAAAGTATTGATTTGCGAGCGAACAGTGCGACCAAAGCCTGTAGAGCTTCACAGCTAATCACGTGTTTTGCCTCTATTTCTGCTCATCTCCTCTTCCAATGTCTCACTGTTTTTGATTAAAGGATTTAAAAGCACAGGAATGGGGGTATGAAGTGTGCTATGAAATAGTGATGCAGTTGTGCTGCTATTGAGTCCAGAGAAAAGAATAGAGAAAAACAAAATCCAGTGAAAACTAAAGCCCGACTCATCGCCAAAATTGGATCAATTCTTGCATAAAACGAATAGAAATACGAACTCTTACTCTACTCTTCTCTGCAAACCCTTCTTTTTCATCCTCTCTCTCTCTCTCTCCCTCTCCCTCTCTCCCTCTCTCTCTCTCTCACTCACTCACTCTCTCTCCGCCTCTCCTTTAGTTCATCACATTTTACTAAATATCGATTTGTAATCACAATTTTTTAGTCACTACTGTAGAGGACAAGTATACTTCATCACAGCTTACAGGCACACAGCCATCATAGCATCTCAACCCCTATCCCTGACTGCCATAGAAAAACATGCAGAATAGTGAGGCTCTAAACTACTACATATAATTTCCCCCGGGAATGGACTGCTATATAGAATTGAAATTAAAGTTAAAAAACAAATAAACTGCACATAAATGTAAGGACAATATAATGCTATCGAAAATCCTTTGAGCGATTTCTTCACAAAAATCACACTTTTATCCACAAAACAATATATATATTCAGATATATATATATCTCACCAAAACTTTTGTCACACTTCAACACTTTAACTCATTCTCTCAATGATTTCTTTTCCCAAAACTTTTTTCTCAGATCCCCCGAGCCTTACGTTACGATAGTATTTAAAAAACACATTTTTTGCTTCACATTATTCTCGCGATTTTTTTCACAGCCGAGCCTCGAGTAGAAATAATTAGAAAGTTTTCTCTACTTCTCTCTACTCTTCCACTATATTTAGTGCAATCCATACATTTGTCACACAACTCTATGTAAGTATTGATTATTTTTTATCTCAGCATTAAAAATGAATTATTTGTTATTCAATATATAACTAATATTTTTTGTTAGCTTAATCTCAATATACTGCCCTTATACTATGTTTTGCAAAATTTTGTTTTCTAATTTTTATGTCATTTCTATGTTTGTAATTTTCTCTAAATTTTGATTTATGAAATGTTTTAAATTTTAATAAAAATTATTAATATTTGTTACGACAATTTGTGTTTATTATACATCAATCTATTGATAAATAATAATTTCAATCAAAAAATGATGAATTTTCCTATTTATAAGAAAATGTAGAATTTGTCAAAATGTTTGTCAAAATGTAATTAAGTTTATTGAATTGAAATATGTTCAGAAACAAATGACTTTCTGATTGTTGTCAAAACCTGTCTAATTACCATTAAATGAAATATAAATTTAATTATTTCATAAATCTTATATAAGACTTGTTAATGTATTGAATGTTTTTATTAAAAGTTTATATTTATAGACGACTAATGAGAAAATGCAACAGAATTTGGAAAACTAGTGTGTATTTCATTTTAGACAATATTATAATTTATATTTTTATCGTTTGAATACTTTTTTATGGCAACTCTTGAAAATGACTGATATATTGTTAAAACGGTTTTTCTTGTAATATATTATAGCGATATACTGTATATACAGTGAAAATGAATTTGAATGAAAGTGTTTACAAAAAACATTAAATATTTATGGATTGTTTGCAACACAAAAGGAGTTACGAAACTATCAATTTTTATATATATTTTCATTATTGCCTAATATTTTATATAAATCTCAAATATTATCCGTTTTATTAGCCAACAAATGTCAAAGTTATTGACCGTTTATTTAGAGTCCATTGATTTGGTAAATGAAATTTGAAAACGTTTTGATTTGTGCGGAAATGACACTCCACTGCAATACAAGTGAATTACATTTCAATGCATTTCATAGCATCGGATCAATCGGAGTAAAGCATATCATATGAGATGAGATGAGAGACAACAACTGAAACACCAGTGAAATAGTCGTCAATTTGAAATGATATGTGAATTTGAGTGCAATCGAAGAAATTGAAATTTTTGAGTACAAACTCTTTAAAGTGATGAACATATTGTTCATAGAAAGCGTGTGTATTGTTAGTGTATATATAATATCCTTAATATAGTGACTGTTGTTTTCTCGTGGGTTTTGTGAGTAATGACGCGTAAACGGACCAACTTTGGTAACTTTGGTAAAATTCAATGTATTGCTAACACTATTGAACAACGATTTCCCTCCAAAAAGTTGCTGCCAATGCTATGAACGCTATGAATATATGCCTCAAAGCAATTCAATATATATATCATGAATATTGGGCTCTATTTTTCGACGAGCGCTAACTTTGTTGCCTTGTTTTATGACATTTTAGTTGCATCCTATCCCTATGCCTCTGTCTATCCCTTCCCTATCCCTGTGCTCCACACTTATCCAACTCCGACACCCTTTTTTACAACACCAGAGAATGACATTTAATCAATATTTAAAACTCTACGCATATCTCTCTCTTCCCTCCCCATACAGTAAGTCTTGTTTCATGTTTTAGACCTCAGTTTTCAATACATCGCAAGAATTTTTTGTTAAATACAAAGAGGCGTTAAAATTCATAACAAAAATTTTCAAGAGTTTCTCATTTTTACTACACATCTAATCGAGAAATTCGTAATTTTACAGAAAAAACTGCTTTACTTATCATTTCTTGTTATAAATGTTTTGAATATTTTATTTACTAATTAGCGAATAATGAATGAACGCATTCATTTAAACAAAAAATTATTTATTTGACGAAATATTTTTTGTTTAGTTTTGTGTTGTTTTTCTTAATCTTATAATTGGCAGCGATTAAGAAAACCGGAGAGAAATGGGTAGAAGAATAGCATAAATATTTCGTATAATTAATAATCTTTTCTTTATTAAGCAAAAGAAAAATATAAAAACTGTTTATTAGAAAGAACTGAGAGATGTGTGAGAAGGATGTAGAGAGAGAGAGAGAGAGAGAGAGAGAGAGAGACTGTATTTAATAACAAAAGTTGGATAAAAAACACTATCAATAAATCTGATGATCAGTTCATTGTTGTTACGCCACTGCATATGATTTGAAATATTTTTGAAATATATTAAAATGTCATCCGAGAGATGAAAATGAATGCATTTCTGGCGATTCAAAACTTTTTATGAAAATTAATGAATATATAAAATAAGAATTTCATGAAATATATTAGAATATTGAATACATTGAATACGTGTACTGTTTTGTAACCAAATATTTCTCTCTGAAAGAAACTTTATATTTAAAAGTGTTTTTCTTGATACAAGTTATATATAAATATATTTTGATATTTTAAATGCAAAAACAGTGCATTATATATATGGTGGGTAGGGTTGGTGTGGTTGGTATGGTTTGGCAAGTTTTTTAACATCTTATCAAACATTGTACCATATTATGTAGTGAATACTATGAACAGATACTGTAAGCTATTGTGACCCAACACTACCAGTGCTCTAGTGCTGGATCTGTACTGTAGTGAGTGATGATCAATACGTTCACTTTTAGCGAGTAATTCCCATTCACCTGACAATCTAACAGAGCTCTAAAGCATTAACTATTTCGCGAGTATTATATTATATTATATTATTTGTGCACAACTTCTCTATCATATGATGTATAATACACGTGATTGTGAGAAACAGCCAAATGGTCGGTCCATTCGTTCAATTTGTTTGATATTTGAAAACTTCAAATTCCTTTTTGTGTTCAAACTTTTCAAAGCCGACCACTTTTTCAAACGACAGTTCAGTTTTGAAAAACTTATTTCGATTTTAATAGCGTTAGGAAGTAATGGACAGCAAACACATCAAACGATATATATTTTGTAATTCGTTTGATGTGACAAAAAAAGAGACGATTCTGTCCTCCAGTTCCTCACATCTCTAAACAGAGAGCACTGGTATTCTCGTGACATCTTAACAGTTGCCGTACAGTGGAGACTGCAATCGCTGTCTTGCATACAATTGGATGAAACTTTCAAACTGTCATCACTAACACTGAAACTTTAATACCAAAAAGCATTTCACATCATTTTATCCTTTCTTTCTGTTCCCTTAGAGGCATCTCTCTCTCTCTCTCTCTCTCTCTCTCTCTCTCTCTCTCTCCTACTCTTTCTACTCTTTCTGTACTATTTTTGAATACTTTATTCTTTTTTACTCTCATATCCATCACGAGTAGTGATCTCTCAGTGCTCTCAGTGCTCGCTTCACCGGGATTTGGTTAACTTATTTTGCATTTTGTGTATTGAGAAGTGGGGGCCGAGAGGGTATGGATGCAAAAAAGTATGCAAAAGAGCCATTTTAATGAAGACGATTGATTTTGCGAGCGTTCGTGCTATGAGTGCTATGAACTGGAGTTTAGGGCTTTAAAGGCCAACTCGACTACTAATGTATTATATTATATGCAAAAATCTTATTCAAAATCTTAATTCCCGATTTCTTACCTTCCTTG